GGGGGATACATATAATAATAATGACGTACATAACTTAACATAACTTAAACATATGGAGATGAATATATTACAAAAGCATAACCGACAAAGACACTTGCCCAAAAATGGCACAACTGTTCACAATGATTATGAGCTTGGAGTTTAGTCGTTCAACTTGCAAACGTCTATGAATTTCTGGACTGCATTCTTATACTGGGTTCCCTGAAAGAAAAAAGAAATAAAAGTAAAAATGAGAGAGAGAGAGAGAGCACGTTATACAGCAGATGATCAAAGCTGGCTACCAAAACTATCCACCAATCCCATGCATGTGTCATATTGGTCAAAAGTTTTGTCTAGTTTAAAACTGATTTCTCCTTTTTTATTTTTCTTTTTCTTTTTCCACATGCCAAACAGAAGAAACAAGTCAAATCATGATTCAAGTGTTGGTATATTTTGCTTAGAAAGAGGGGTATGTTGGCAAAAGCAAATTTTGCTTTAATCTAATATTGATGTTCAAGGGCTTAACGTCCAAGTTTAGGAAAATAGAATGAATGGTCCCCTTTTTCCTTCCATTTGAGGTGGGCCAGAAGGAGCACTAATAAAATAAATTCTGTTGAGAAGATTGGAAGCTGATTGCACATCCCAACAAATTGACAAAACTAGCAGAAAACAAGTTTGTTCTATGTAAGTTGGAGATAACCGGATCTTTTACTACCTCTATAAACATTCAATGGCAGTATTCCCCCTTTCTCAACCATTGTTTTGACTTGGATAATATGTTAAAGTTTAACGTCCATTTGTCCTTTTGTATACTCTTAATATACTTATACTGGTTATCCTGGTTATGAACAGATAAGAAAACTGGGAGGACCTGCCTCTATAACCTTTTTCTTTTTTATACTCAAGAAATCCCCTGAACCCACTTTGTGAGCCCAAGTTAGAAACTGGAGGCTTCTGCCAAACCCTACAATCTTTGGAAGGCATGAAACTTCGACTTCTGTCATGTGGGTACCCATGAGGCGGTTCAAACCCCAGACCTTGTGGGAGCAAACCAAAGGCCTGACCATTCCAACCAACAAACACCCCATAGGTGCCTCTATGACCCTTTTAAACGGGGGATCAACTAAGAGAGAACTGAACAAGAAGAACTCAACAAATTTTACAGTTCAGATTTCAGAAGAAGAAACTAAGCTTCTGAAAGTTTTGGATAGAAAGAGCATAATAAATTGTCAACATTACCTCCCAGTAAAGTTGATTGCAGTCCATGCACTGCCAAAACTCTAAATTTTGGTTAAACAAGCAATTTGGAATTCGTTGGAAACCTTTTGCTGCTTCCACAGCCTCTTCAGTTGTCAGAGGCTTTTGAATAAACCTACCATTGCATTTTGTGCACCTTGACATCAATTGATCCTCACTGATTTTCAGCTGAAATGTTTCTATCACCTGCAAGAACATTCGCAATTTCAGCTACAAGAATACTGCTTCATCTCTCTGATTGATGATAGCAGCCTTAAGTTGCTTGAAATCGGCAAACAGAAGAACCAAGCATACCTCAAGTAGCTGTTCATTTTTCAGAAGACTCTTCACCCTATATATTTGATTCTTTAATATATATTGGTGTCTCAGCAGCTTGGCATCCCGCGTCAATAGCACTCTATTCTCTCTGTGAGCTTGACCTATCAGCTCCCTACTTACAATGAAAGCAACGGTTTTGCATAAACATAAGTTAACCTCTAATACCAAATTAGATAATTAGTATAATCTGTAAGAACACCTAGGTTCGGGCTTTTTCGAATGTGGGATTGCAGCATCGATCCCAACACACCTCAAATGTTTTGCCAATCCTTCAACCTGAGTAAACATTCTATTAGGCGTTAGCTTCCCACTTAAGAGTGAAAACACGAGAATTCAAACTCAAAATAACATCAGAGTAGTATGGAGTTTTGTTCCCAGAAATTAGGATAATCCTTAGAGAAGGAAAGAAGGCAACGTTCAAATGTTTAGCCACAGGTAATTGTGCAAACCTGTTATGTGTATAAGCCAGGCATAAAAGTAGAAGCATCAGAGAATGCAAATGGAACGCAGAAGAGTCGATTTACATACCATTACATCACACAGAAACTTAGGGGATCCATTTCCCCCCAAGGACAAATCCCATGGTATGGGTCCTTGCCCGTCCTCAAGATTCTCTAATTGCTTTTCTTTATTAATCAAACCAGCCGATGATCGTCTTTTCCCTTTTCTTTTTGAAATTTTCGGCTTTTTATCAGATTCTTTCAGCACAAGTTTTTCACCGTATCTGTTCACAATCTTCAACAGGGACTCGTCCATAGGCAACGTACTCCTTTGCTGAGACCTCAGAACCATTCCTTCTTCAGAGGCTATTTTTTGAGAAATATCGAAACAAGCAGTAGCTCGGACTATATCCAAAGCGTCACAAAATGTCGTCCTTATAATTTTTTCACACACACCATTCTTCTCAAGAATCTCTTTCAACCCAACATTTGAAACGAGGGAAGTTGGTTCAGCAAGATTGTGATTTAAATTCCCTGAAGTGAGACAAGTAACTAAAGTCTAAGCTAAAACAGGAAGAAAAAAAAAAGACATAAACTCGTGCGCTTCGCAGATTTGAGTTTTTAATTTGAGTTGAGATATGACATTTTCTGAGAGCTTTTAACTGTAGCAGAAAAAGTCAGATGTGGCATTTTCTGAAAACTTTTAACTGTAGAAACCTAAAACTGAAAACTCGAATCGGTGAAATGAACGAGACCTTAAATTACATTACATCAATATATATATATATATATCTGCATTTTCTTTGTTTTATGATTTAACTTAGGTAACGCGACAAATTAACATAGTTTTCTTATTCTTAATATCTAAAAAAGCATACCTTCTTTGATGACTTTGTGTTGAAAGACGTTAAAAATATCAAGCAAGCAGTGTGCATCCATAGCTGCATATGTTCTTTGAGCTTCAGTAAGAGGACGATGTGACCAATCACTACATTGAAGTTCCTAAAAAAGACATAAACTCCGTAATAACAATAACGACAAAATAAAAACAAAAGCCTATAAAAAGTCAGCTGTGGGATCTGAAATACCAAACCATGCCTTACAATGAAATTCAAGAGAATGACTTCGAATTGCTTTACACTTGACCATGCTTAAAATGTGTTTGATTTCTAAAAGACATATATGAGACAGGGACATGGATAAATGCTTGTTCACAAACTCATCATGCCGTAAGAAAGTCATATAATGTCATTCATATTCCATGCAGAGCAACAAATCTGAAAAACTTAAATTAGCATAAAAATGAATGCGAATATATATATATATATATCAGAGGAATTACAATGTAATATGATTACGAAACCAAACCTTTGAAAGAGAAATGCCCAACACTTCTTTGCAAATAGTTGCCAAACTCTTGATATCCTTAGACATTTTCCTTCCAGGTTGCTTATGTTGTAGATCTTTGTACACACTCGTAATATCCAAAAAGGGCTCAATCTATATATATAAACCATAATAATAATAGTATTGAAGAAATTTTAATAGCTTAATTCATAAAAGACAATAATTTCGACAAATTTAGCTAAGAAAAATTTGAACTTGTGATATCCATAAAAAAGGAGCTTTAATTGCTGCTCAATAAATGAAAATTTGAGGCCTTAAACTTCAAATTTCAATCTTTTTCCGGCATTTTCCCAGCAGACAAAGGATTGTGCGAAAAGGTAAGCTCTTACCCTATCAAATCCAAGATTACAGCCATGCGAGCTGAAAGTGGAGGACAAGTAGACCAGGTCTTGCTTGAACCTAAAACCTAATTTCAGAATATCGGGAGAGACGAAAACGTCTCTCAACAGTTCCCAGATTGAAGGAAGAGGAATCAGGAGGAGGTCCACCAAGAACACGACTGAGTTCTCCGACTCGTCCGAGTCCCCACCGAGTCGCGGATCGAGTTGGCAGGCGAGTTGGAGGAGAGAGACGGTGGGGAGGCATGTCTGCTGCTGCCCAGCGCGGGTCGGCTTCCATTCGGCGTCAATCGCGATGAGTAATGAACGAGTCAGTGCCCGAGTCAGGTGAGTGAACTCGGGCGACTCGGTCGAGGAGACTACGTGGATTTTGAAGGGCTTTTGGTTCCCCAGATCCATGAAATCTTGCCATCGTACGATCTCCCTCTACGGCAGTTTTAACGCCATGGTCTAGGCTCATTTCCCCTTGGGCAACGGCGTCAAAAATTATGGGCCTATTGCTATTTGTAAGTTACGAGTTACGTCCCCGTGAGAGTTTTAGTTTATCGATTCAGAATTATTTTTAATTTATGCGTGTTTTTAAAAAAAATATATTGTAATGAATCACAAATTATTATCTGAATTATAGTACGAATTCACCAACTAAACGCACACTAATGTGTCGCATTGGTTTTTTATATATCGACTTAATTGAGGTAATTTTAAATTCTATTGATGCTGGATAACAAAAGTATGATCCACTTTTTTCCTCTCTATAAGCGGTTTTAATAGATTGTTAATATTAATTGTGGGTGTCAGGTGTAAAGATGCAACTAATTCCCTTTCTTATTAGCAAAAGTTTAAGTCCCTAATGAAATGTTAATACTTTTCTTTTTTGCTTCCAAGAATTTGTAAAGTGTGAAAGTTTAAAGATATAAACAAAGAAATTTAATGTATCTATTTTTAAAAACAAAAGTAATAAATTATGGTAACATTGTATTGAAAAAAATAAAAACATTAAAAATTAAATCAAATGTTGAAAAAATATGGATACATCATCAATTCTATACGAATTAAAAAGAATTATTAGAGATAAATATATTGAAAGTAAAAAGAATTGGGAATTGTGTTTTCTGTACGGCTCAGCCCACGTACCGTAAGATTGGCGCATAAAAGGGCCCATAAACCAGATTGGCGCCAAATTTCCGCTTCCCGCGAAAACAAATTAGCCCGCGAAAAGAAAACCCTCTCGTTACTTAGATAAATAGCAAAACGCCGTCTTATTATCATCTTCTCCGCCGAAAAAAAACAGAGAGAGAGAAAATCCGGCCAACATTTCTGTAGAGATCTATGGCTTCCCCAAGAGGAACGAGGAGAATGCTGCTGAGGCAAAGAAGAACAGAAGCTCCGAAGCCTCTTTCGGTGTCCTTTTCACCTTTCGAGGACGAAGATAGCGACAGCGGCAGCGGTTCCGAAGCCGAATACGACGACGTTTGCTGCGAGAAGTGCGGGTCCGGTGACTCTCCGGCGGATCTTCTTCTATGCGACCAATGCAATAGAGGGTACCATCTCTTTTGCCTCAGACCCATTCTCGTTTCTGTCCCCAAAGGCTCTTGGTTCTGTCCCACCTGCTCCAAGAACAAGCACAACAAGCTCAAATGTATGTGTATGTGTGTTTCTGTAGTGATTTTCTTTTTTCATGCAAAACTATGGTCATCTGCTATTTTTGTTGATTATTTTGTTTAATGTGAGTAACTAATTTGTTCAATTCCATTGCGATTTCAGCTACATTTGATTTGATTGTTATTTTTTATGCATTTTCAATCTGATCTGTTTCAATATCGCACCAGTAAATTGTTAACTATTATTTGCAATTTTTTTTTATTTTCAAATGTGCAGCTTTCCCTCTAGTACAAACCAAAATTGTAGACTTCTTCCGAATTCAACGGTCTCCAGAACCAACCCAGAAACCAATCCAAGGTATATAAAAAGAAAAGCCTCAAAATTTGCATATGTTAATGTTTTAGGATGGTAAATTTTCTGCTATATATATAGAAAAACTCAAAATTTGCAATTCTGTTCATGTTTTAGGATGGTAATTTTTCTGATTTAAAGTTAATGAGCTTTTTTTTTCTTTGTGAATTTCTAATGTTTGTTTAGACATTCGAAAGAAAAGAAAGCGGGCTAGTAGCTTGGTTATGTCGAAAAGGAAAAGGAGATTGTTGCCATTCAATCCAAGCGAGGATCCGACAAGGAGATTGGAACAAATGGCTTCCCTGGCAACTGCATTAACAGCCACAGGCACAGAGTTCAGTAATGAACTCACTTACAGGCCAGGCATGGCACCAAGATCAGCAAATTCTGCTGCTCTTGAGCGCGGAGGAATGCAGGTATATCCGAAAAAACAATCACATTTTTTGAATTCCTTTGCTGCAATTGTTGGCCTTTGCGCGATACATGAGTATAAAATCGCGAGTTATTAATCCGAAACTACTCTATTGTTTAATGGTAAATCTCAGGTTCTGTCAAACGAAGATGCTGAGACCTTAAATTTGTGCAAGAGTATGATGGAGAGAGGGGAATGGCCACCCCTAATGGTGGTTTTTGATCCTCAAGAGGGGTGAGTAGAGTGTACTCTATTTCTGACTTCAATTTTTTGTGTGGGTGATTTTGAGCATTTGATTCTATAGTGAGTATTCTCACTTGATCTTTTTCTTCAAACAGTTTCACTGTCGAGGCGGATAGGTCTATTAAGGATCTTACAGTAATCACGGAGTACGTGGGAGATGTCGATTTCTTGAAGAATCGTGAAAACGACGATGGTGACAGCATGATGACACTGCTTCATGCTGCTAACCCTTCAAAAAGCCTTGTCATTTGTCCTGATGAGCACAGTAACATCGCCCGCTTCATCAATGGCATCAATAACCACACTCCGTAAGCTCTTCCTCACTTCAAACTCTCTTTTTATTGTTTGTTCATTTGTGCATCTTATTGTATGAGCCTTGGTTGTGACATGTCAATTTAACCCTTATCTAAAGGAAAGCATATGCATGTTAAAGCACCAGACTATTCTTTCCCTTATCAAGGAAACATGTCTTTTTTTGTTGTTTCATTCAAATTGGATAACCAGACAATAAAAAATGTTTAAGTTTATACCTTATGGTGATTTATGTTCCAATGAAGCATAATGATTGTTCCTATGGTTATTGGGTTAATCTGATTGAAAGATTTTCTGGGTTTTTTTTTTTTTTTTTTTTTTGCAGGGAAGGGAGAAAGAAGCAGAACCTGAAATGTGTGAGATTTGATGTGAATGGGGAGTGTCGGGTTCTACTGATTGCCAACAGAGATATATCAAAGGGAGAGAGATTGTATTATGATTATAACGGATATGAACATGAATACCCGACTCAGCACTTCGTCTAAGATCTTCATTTATTTATTTTTTTTGTTTCAATTATTGATGCAAAGATAAGTTAAATCTTAGAACAGGGAAACTAACAGGCTAATTGTACGCATCATCTTTTTTTTTTTTAGAAGAGAAAGCAAATAGTGTTTCAGAAGTGCACATTTTTTGGCTGTGATTTTAAATGGCCTGACAAGTTTGATTTTGTAGCAGCACTAGATTTACGTAGAAGCCAAGTAAGAGCAAGTCTCAATTCATAGTTTTTGAAAGTTCATGGTGGATCGCTCAAGGCCCATATATTTCGAGCGGCCCAGGAGTTTTGTTGCTTTTTTTGACCGGACTGGGTCTAAATGTTAGGCCTAAAAGGGCTCTGACTGTCTTTCTGCTGCAAGTATTAGTTTTATTTTTAATTCTTTTATTTACTTGTAACGAAAAGTGATTATTGGTGTGATTTCATCTCTTGTTAGCTTTATTGTTACAATTTTTTTTATCTAATAATAATTTAAATTCAACTTTTTATTATAATATTTTTTTGTCACATGTATAATTTAAGTTTTTAACTTGAGTTGTAAAATAAACATAAGGTGGTTTAACACGACACAACTAATTAAATACGGACCTCGGCTTAGGATTATATATCGAATTTTAGAAACAAAGAAGGAAAAGTATCTTACTTGTTGCACCACGTTATTGATAGTTGATGCCTCAAACATAAAGACCTACAACTTCTATAGATGGAACTATTCTGCAAAAAAGAAAAAGGAAGAAGAGCCTAATTAGGGGTGGTAAAAGTGATTGTTATAATGTATATAGACAATTTACGTACTGGATGTTTTTATGTCACTTAGTGATGTCTTATCTTTTGCATTTTACTATCCTTTAGTCTCATTAAAAATAAAATAAAAATAAAAAAAATGACCCGTGGCTACGGGGAGAACCATAAATTGATTTAAACTGGTCCTAATTTATGTGGACTGTCAAAATAATTCCCAATGCAAGCGTATCAATTTGAATCACCAAAGGCATGTAATGATTTGAACAATAATTAGCTTAATAATTAGTAGCTTAGTGTCACAATTTGTTTGCTAGCTTGTGTAGCGTAATGCTCTTTTTTTTTTTTTATATTTTTCAAATCAAGAGGCAGAACCGTATTGATTGATATAAACTTATGTAGGTCCACTTTCTTCATTTATGAAGTAGACATAATTGAGAAAAAAAGAATAAAAACTTAATAAAAACAAATTGGTGGTGCTGGAAAAAAAAGGTTGATGTTTATCTGTTGGCATATAATTAACATCGAATAAAAACCATTGTTTAGTACTAATATTATGCGACAAATCAAAGTACAAAATGGAACCATTGGGCATTGCCTCTCTTTCGCATTTTCCAATGGAGACCAATGTAGTTTCAAAAAAAAAAAAATCAAATAAATAAACAATTATGATAATTAAGAAACGTATTCTAAAAAAGAAATGCTAAATACATTCGTGACTAGTGTAAATGTAAAATCTCAATTTCACTATGATAATAGATTACAGAGTTCTCTAGTAACATTTTTCTATGTTATAATTCTCGGTTTTACTGTAGCAACAGAGGACGGAGGGAGATCTCTATTTAGATGGCATTTTTCCATTTCTCACGTGATCTAAAGTTGAACAATGCAAATTGAAAAGGCTTTCTAATAGGAATTACCAATTTCACAATACATGAAGAAAAGATAAAAGGTGGTTGACAGTGGAGAAGAAATTCATGAGGTCTGATATACTAATGTTTAGTTTATAGATTCATAATCATGTTTCAGAATTATTTTCGGTTTACGTGTATTTTTTGTGAGATAAAACACTGTAAATAGTCACGAACCATAATCCGAACTATAACACGAATCCTTATTCTAAACGCTTGCAGGAAAAGAAAGGACTGTCAGTACAAAACCAACACTTTCCTCACAATCTTATGATTATTGGGCAGATTTAGGACCACTCTATGCATCAGAAAGGTAAAGAGAGAAATTCATGGGGGGTGGTCCAAGATTAGGGGCTACCATAACCCACAGTAGCTGCCAAAATCAATCAAACTAAGTTCGTGAGTAAGTAGCTGCCATCGGATTTGTATTAAAGTCTTGTGTTTGTTCCACACATCTTTGTTTTTCTTGTGTCTTTTTTCCCTTCCAAAGTGTTACTGCCACAAGATTATTATTTTAATGACATGAAAAAAATGTGGTCCTGTTTTGTTATTACTTAAAACTGTAATGCTCGATGTTGTACTTTTCTCTGGGTATTGTTTTGTTTTAAGATTTTCTCTGGTAGTCCCTGCAATAATGGAGTACAGATAGTCTTTTATTTTTAACTGTCAGATCTGTATCAGAATCTGTTCGTCTTGTATATTTTTTCAATTTAATGTGATTTTAACAAGATTCAATGGTTAAAAACTGAGATTATCGGTAAGACAAACTACTAAAGAAACTCTTTTTTTATCTGAATTCTTTGGTTAGTGTTTAGTGTCCAGAGATTTTTTCCATCAGAATTCTGAATCCATGCGCACAGATCATAATTTGGTGGTATTAAAGCCAATATGATGCAATAATTGTGAGAATATGTGCTTGGTTTTGGGTGTACTTGATGAGGCACATTCTGATGCAATAATAGGTGGATTCTTTTCGTTTTTTAAAAGAGAATAATGCTCATGCAGATCAATGGAAAGTTACAAGAAATGACCCCATTTGGATACCATTTGTTGAAAGAAAGGAAACCCTTTTGTTAATTGGAGTTTTTTCAACCATATTTCAAATCAAGTACTGCTTGATATTGGTCATGAAAAAAACTGATATGACTATTATTTCTTAGTTCTGAAATCTGAATACTCCCATACTAGTCTATATCAGTGATTTGTGATGTTTTGTGGTTTCTTTCGCCCACGTTAGTGCAATCAAGTGTCCCCTACAACCCCATAAATTTTCCCCCTTTTAGCTAAACCAAAAAGGAGAAAACATCATGAAATTTCAAAAATATCAAAATAATTTTTTTTTTTTTTTAAAAAAGCACAAGAAAATAAGAAAGATAATAGTAATAGCTAGATAAATATCTCATAAAAAGCAAAAATTTAGTCTGAAAAAATTAAAAAAGAAAAAAAAGAAAAATGTAGCTCAAAGATAAAGAGTGGGTAGTGGGTACCCCGTCCTAATTAACACTATGCAGGGAAATGCAGCCATCAAAGACCCCTCCACCAGCATGTTTGATGGGAAAATGTCTATAACCTATACCACCACATTCTCCGTCTTTCTTTTCATAAACTTCCGCGGTCCTTTAAATTTTGATGGTATCCGGTGCATTAAAATTGTATTAATTCACTTCCTCTTAGTCTACACATTTTATATATTTTCCGTGGTACTTTTCACTAAGATTGGTGGGGCCATTATTATAGGATCTCTCTATCTTTTATGTGTGTGTTGTTAAATATCTTGTGACGACTTATAGTTTGCAGGCTTTGGTTTGGCTACGCTTTTTTTTTTGTTGCCATTTTCATTTTTCTTGCACATTTGTCTTGTTTTTTTCGCTGATTCGAGTTTAAAATTTGAGTTTTATTACAGTAAAAAATTTTAAAAAACAGTCACATTTAATTTTTTTTACTACAATAAAAAACTCTCAGATAACATCACATCTCAACTCGAATTAACGAACCGAACCGGCAGTAAACCTAAAAGGCTTTTTGGACTTTGTAGGATATTTATGCGTATATATCTTTTTGTGCTCAATAAATTCTGCGTGTTCGATCGCAGCACTTAAGTCGGGATAAGTGTTGACAGATTTTATGGTTCATGTTAAAATAGTCAACCGTTGATCGATTGGAAGTTTGCCGACATATTAATATTAAATATTCCACGTGTATATATATATATATATAATATGTGTGTACATATCTATAAAGTTCATGAACATATAATTAAGGGAAAGAAAAAAAAAAAGGCCTCACATGTCTTTTTAAACTGCATTTAGCTTCGATACATTGAAAAGGAAAAGAAAACAAAAAACAAAAGAGAAACGACTCGATGTCTCCAGCTAACATTTGAAGTTGTCTTTTAAAGCTATATATATATATATTATATATTGAAATTCTATAATTCAATATTTTCGGTTCATGTTAGCAAACTCGAGCGAATATATACGACAGTATATAAAACATATATATATATATAAAATAAAAAAGGAAAAGGAAACAATATATGCTTAAGAGCAGATTTAAAAAAAAAAAAAAAAGAGGATGAATTATTGAACGTACGTGGTAACTAACTGATGAAATATTCAAAGCGATCAAGGAAAGAGATTAAAGAAGAGATTTGAGACAGAACTCAATATGATATTATGTTGATTGCCTCATATAATAATAGTACATACCAATCTCTCGATTTTTCCACGCCTATCTTTATAAATCATCTAATATTCGAAATCTTTATATATATATCCTGGGAATTTCTAGCTAGCACCAATAATTTTCGACAAGATAATATATAGTTTCCTTCAATATTGCATTCATCAAAAGTGTAATATTGTCCGTAAAAGACAATTTCTAATCATGCAATGTATCCAAAACCAACACGTTACATGGGAAAATGGAAGGAAGGAAAATTATTAATAGCATCGAGCTATTTTTTTTAATGAGTTCACCAATTGTCAGCTAGCTACAACACATTCAACATTCAAAAAGAAACTTTATGATATAATTTTGTAAAAGAGAAAGATAGATTTTTATATTTGTAGTGTCTTATTTGAGCAATATATATTAGTATATATATATATATATGTGTGTGTGTGTGTGTCGGTTGCCAACATTGATGTTATACATATGAATTAGCTAGTAATCTAATTAAGGGATGGTGCATGTGCCTCTACAACCCAAACGCGACTTATATAAATAGAGTTATATATATATATATATATAGTTCATTTCTTTGAAAGAGAGTTTCTTCGGGTAAAGAGAAAGAGATAAATACAATGTCTCGCTTTACCAACCCACCAAAACGTTT